TAATTAAATGCAGCAAAACAAACTAATTAAAAGGTAACATATCTTTGTAATACTTGGTTTATTTACATAACTTTAGTTGCTGGGTGTTTGGCCCCTCAGCTGTTCACCGGCAGTAACTGTGGCCCCCGGAGCAATTTAGTTGAGTAGCCCTGTCTTACCTGTTGTAGATAGCTCTTTGAACAGCCTTAAATTTAGTTCTAACCAGTTTGCAGATATAATTTACTTTGTTAGAGCAGACTTATCACAGTTTAGGTTGTCATTATTTCAGTTTAGAGTGAAGTGGTGAGCGATCACCGTGCCTGTGACATACAAAATAGAAAAAAGTCAAAAAAASATCTTTATATTGAAGGAACTTGGCATAGTACACTACATTTGATCTAAGTTGTCACAGCCAAAATGAAACAGGAAGTGACATCAAAGGGGAACTCTTTCAGAAAAGACTTAATTCTCTGTTCATTGAAACGATATTTATTTGAATGCTGACTTTTCTTTGTCGCTCTTTGATAGTGACTCAGAATAATCCAAAGAAACATCAGATTTTTCTCTGCTGTCTTTGTTCTCAGTCAWACCAATGTTCTGTTCACATTTATACATYCYTCYGTGACGYCACTTCCTGTTGCTTCACACGCAAATATCTCAACAATCTCAGCGGTGTCAAATATTTTTTGCAATATGTTTTATTAATGTTGTCTTTCTAAAAATTAGGGATGCACTATATATTAGCATTCATATTGATATCGGCTGATATTGGTCATTTTTTAGAACATTGGTATTGGTCCGATGTGTAAAACTGGGCCGACATTAACATTAAATATTTATTTCCCACTTTTTAGCTTCGTGTTCCTGTTTTGGGAGGGGAGATGGTTGGTTGAGCAGCATCTGTTTGATCATGATAGTGATATTGACACTGTGCAGCCAGGAATAACTGCAGTAGAGCCATGTCAGAGGTCTGGTCATTTATTTACTGTATCAAAAAAACACCCAAGTGTGTTTGTTTGTGTAATATCGGTAAATATCTGTTATCAGCCATAACAGCAATAATTATATTGGATATCTATATAAAATGTTTTTGTGCTTTTAGAATCAGTAAGTAAATGACCAATAAAATTCTTCACGCTGAAATTTTCATATCTGTGCATCCCTACTAAAAATGCATTCATATTTATTACAAAATGTGATGTCGCAGGCACCAGTTCAGCATTTACCTTCTGTGGGTTGAGAGGAGGTGTAAAACCTCAAAACTATTTATGTTGTGATTCAGCAACACACTCTCCAACCCATGACTGTCTGGATTTGTCCCCCTCAGGACACACACCGGAGCCGCCCAGCTCACTGTCCTCCCCCATCCTGGACACCCCGCTGGACTCCCCCCTCAGCTGCGCCGACCTCACCCTCGACTCAACCGGGGAGCTGACTGTGGAGGACGTCAGAGATTTCCTAACGTAAGCGCACACACACTGAGGAAAGTAAAAAAATGGATTCTCACGTTTTCTTTGAAGATTAGTATATTTGATCTTTTTTTTTAGGACTGTGGACGAAGTGGAAAATAATCTGAAGAACATGAAAGATGAGGAGGGACGCTCCGCCGGGCTCCTCATCAACTGAACAGGTGAGGAGCTCAGATCATACACACACACACACACACACACACGCACACACACGCACACGCGTACACCTGTTTCTAATGGAGCTAGTCTGGGATGTGCAAACATCAAAGCTTGCTTCGGTCTGAGCTCTGCATTCCAATAACAAACTCTTCTCTGCATTTCTTAAAGACAAAAGCAGCTCCATCCTGGCTGCTGGAGCACATTCACAGTTTAACTCTTGAGCTCAGTCAGTTTTATCACCATTCAACTAATTTAACCTCATTACCACTCCATAGTTCATGAAAACTGAACTCAGAGGAACCTGACGGCACACAGACATTCTAGGATTCTTGTTGAGGTGTGTTTTCTGGCAGAGATAAACCAGAAGAATCTGCTGGATGGCAGGAAGTTACCATCAGAGCTGGCATAGTTCACCTGTTAATCTTCTTAAGCTTCTCACAAAATGTACTCGTTAAAAAAATGTTTCGTTAGGATAGTGTGCTGTGGCTTTGTTAGCAGTATGTATTATTATGGTGTATTGTCTGTTACTCTTGGGGGTCCTAAATAAAATGGTTTTTGCTGTCCTCTTGTGGAACAAATACAAAGTACAGGCTGCAGGAACATAGCACTATTGTAACTTTTTACTTTAAGCCAGGGGTGGGCAATCCTGGTCCTCGAGGGCCGCAGCCCTACATGTTTTACATATTTCCCTGCTCCAACACACCTGATTCAGTCACTGAACTACCTCTTCCAAGTTCTGCTGTATGGAGGACCGACACTGACATAATTAGAATTAAAAGCAGAAACATATAAATGAACCACTAAATAAACTAGACATGGATTTTTACGATGTAAAAACAAGTGTGCATTGCCACGTAGCATGTCATTGCAGCATGGCTTTGCCTGCAGCA